TCAATACCTTACCTAAATATTATTCAACCCAAAACTCATATATTTTAAATTTTATTTTCTTTAATTTTTTTAACACCTTTTCAATACCATACATAAATATTATGTAATACAAAATCCATATATTTCAAAATTTCATATTTATTTATTTCATTTAGTGAATGTGGTTGTTTTATTAACATTTTTGTATTATAAATATAAAATTGTTATGAGTATCAGATATTGAGGGCAAAAATATAATATGTACAATTTTCAGACTTCAGTTTTTGTATATAACAAACAATCTTAATGAATTCAGTACTTAAAATTAAAATGTTATCAAACAGGTTTTTAAATTATTACATTTAGCGTTTAAAGTTTCAGTGCTTAAAATTCAGTACTTAAAATTTTCAGTTTTATCAAACACCTTTTAGAGGATCATCTCCAATATTGTGTCTCTAACTATCTCTACTAGCCAAATATTATGTTAATTTGAACAGTTCGATTACTTAGCGCACAAAGAACAAAAAAATATAAATAAACAAATAAATAATGAATACTTTTGCATTTTTTTTTTTCTTTCTATTTTCTCTTTTCTTTTAGCTTTCACCTTTTATAGTCACATTGATTTGTGTATTAAATAGAGGTGGTAATTCATGGTCATAATCGTGTTATGTCGATTTATTAGTATTTCACGAAATATGTCAATTCAATTTCGTTTAATAATCATGTCAGAGACTCTCTACACAAACACGTCCAATCTATTAAATGAGTTACATAGATAAACCTATTTAACCTGCTTAATTTAAGTGAGTCATGTTAACCATTTATTAATTTAAGATAAAAATAAAAATATAACAAAAAAAATAACATACTAGGAAACAAATTTCATGAAAATGAAAATAATTTGGACACTACAATTACCATAAATAAATAAATAAATAAAGGTCCATATTGAATTTATATTGAAATAGCAAAAATATTTATAATAATTGGGTTAAACCATGTTATCTGTTTATTGTGTTGACCATGACATGAGTTTGACATAATTAATTAAACAGGTTAAATTTCAAAATACAAACACGACACGATTGATTAAACAAGTTAAATAGCTTAACACAATAATGTATAACACGAACACCCTTAAAGTCAATCCAAACCCACTAATTTTGTATTGTATTCGAGTTGAGTTGGCGGCTATGTCAAAATTTGTCACTCCTAGATATACCAAGAAATGATTATAATTAATTTTATTTCACAAAATAAAATGATGTAATTTACTTATTTCAACAAAGTCCATTGGATTTGAACCATGTATAAAAGCTTAGAATAGATTCCTTTCTGTTGGAGTCCAATTCTAATTCCAATTCCAATTCAATTTATCAAACCTAGTGCATCCCACTGGTGTTCGAAGTTTGGTGGAGAGAAGAAACTTAGTGCATCCCAAATTCCTATACATACATGAAGAATTATAATTATAGAAAATATTAGGTGTAGAAAATTATATACATACTAATTTTGCATTGTTATTTATTATTATTATTATTATTATTATTATTATTATTATTATTATTATTATTATATATATTAATTAAGAAAAAAAAATCATAATAATTTCATTATTTGTTAGAGTTTTATCAAAACTCTTTTTATATTAATAGGTAATTTGTGTTAAAATTTTATAGAAACTCTTTTTATATTAATTAATAAAAAAATATGACAACAATCATAGAAGCGGTACCATATGACTTGATCATGTATCACACATTTCACATTTGCAGATGATTTACTTATCTTCTGTCATGCTGATATCACCTCCATTTCCATTATTAAGTCAGCTCTTGACCTTTTCTCCTCACTTTCTGCTTTGGCCATTAACCCCTCCAAAAGCTTCGTTTTCCTTTCAGGTATTGATCATTCAAGTGAGATTCTATTCTCTAACTTTCTTGGTGTTGGAATTGGGTCACTCCCCGTCAAGCATCTTAGAGTTTTCCTCATCTCCACTAGGCTCAAAGCTGCTGACTGCAATCTGATACTCAAAAAAATCACAGCAAGAATCCATCATTGGTCTTCTAGAAGCCTCTTTTATGCTGGAAGACTAGTTCTCATCAAATCTGTTCTTGTGTCCACTCAATTGTACTGGTCTAGTATATTTATTCTACTATAGAAGGTGATCAATGACCTCTCTGCATTGCTGAGGAGATTTCTCTGGACTGGACCTTAAGAAGACTGGTGCTAGGGTTAAGTGGTGTAATGTATGTAAGCCTATCTCTGATAGTGGTCTAGGGCTTCCTAACCTTGAAGTTGCAAATAGGGCTGCAATTCTCAAACACATTTGGGAACTCAGAGTTAAAAGCAATCAAAGAATATGGATCTACTAGTGCAAGACTTATCTTATCAAGGATCAGTGCTTCTGGACCATCAAAATCCCACAAACATGTTCATGGAGTTAGAGGAAAATCCTCCAGTTAAGGCCTCTTACAAGGAAACTCATCAAACACAAGGTTGGCAATGGTGCATCTACCCATCTCTGGTATAATTTTTGGCTTGATAGAAGTCCCCTTTCTCAACTCTACCCCATTTACATTACCTAACCAGCAAGTATCTCCCCCAATGTTGTGGTCAGTGATTTCATTGATGCTAGTACATGGAGTTTTCCTCAACCCCTCTCCTCCTAAATACCTGATCTAAACAACATTCAACCTCCCAATCCCTCAGAGCCAGACCAATTTACTTGGGTAGCTAGACCTACAGGAAAATATAGCCTTAAGCATACTATAGCAGCCATTTCCCAAGCCCATTCCCCAGTACCTTGGTCAAACCTTGTCTGGAAGTCCATAACCATCCCCAAACACAAAAATGATACTGTGGATTGCAGTTCAACCCAAACTCTCCACACTGGACTCCAAATGTATGTCTTACATTGATTCTGCTAATGTATGACACCTATACTCAACCCTACCAAAAACACACTCTCACTTTTTCTTTGATTGTGAATTTGTCTCCCCCATATGGAAGTTCATTCAACACAAATGTCGATTTTACACAAGAAGTGAAAACTGGCCACAATTTGTCTTCTGGGCTACTCACCACTGGAATCACTCTTCTCCCATAATAGATATGTGTTGTTTAGCCCTTGCCTCCATGGTGTATCACATTTGGCAGGAGAGGAACAATAGAGTTTTCAGATCCTCCCCTTCTTCGCAATCATCTGTGCTAAAGCTTATATATAATTCAGTTGCTGAAGCCCTAAGATCCCGCCACAATGAATGCTACTCTCAGCTTGCTTTGGAATGGTCCTATTCTCCAGCTGCGACTCGTCCACCACCCCTTCCTCCAGATTAGTAAGCAGAGGTGAAGCCTCAAGGAGGCTGGAAACAGCCTTGTTGCCGGAACTGTTAGGACATTCATTTCTAATGGTCAACGCCGTTAGTAACGACTATCCTCCACATCCTTGTTGAGGATCCATTGCCTCTCTGTTGTTCCCTATTTTGGGTTTGGCCTTCTATGTAACATCTTTCAATAGTTTGGGTTTGGCCTAACTCTATTATGGGTTGGCCTTCTGTGTACTGTTCTTGTTTCCCTTTGGGCCTCTCTTGGGCCCAATGTATCTCTCTTATTATTAATATATTTGCTTAACCATTCCAAAAAAAAAAAATCACACACACATCGACAACCCCATTAGCGTTTATAAACACTTCAGATTTACAATCAAGATATATATACAGATTTACAATCAAGATATATATATATAAAGAAAATGAACAAACACATACATATCAAGTTTTAACACTAACATGGATCAAATTCAAATACCATTGTCTAAAACCAAATCTAAAAAAGTCTTATATATTATCTAGCTCACACATTGTATCATGCCTGAGGAGGAGGATGTCAAACACCATCTTCAACCTTACCACCATTGCTTCCTTTTTCAGCAGCAATTGCTTTTGATCCAACACCAGCCACAACGCGGCTGCATTTTCGCTTCACCCAGCCAAAACAGTCCCCATGACTGATACTAATTTCCAATGGTGTCACTGTCCGACGTGCACAAATCCTTCCCAACAAGCACGAAATAATTGTGAGAATCGCTAGCACCGAGATATATGACTGCAAAAAATGGCCCCATAGATCGTGAAGACTGCCCCGAACTGCTCGGCACAGTTTTGGAATTAGGCACCGCTTCCTGAGGCTGTTGCTGTTCAGGCAAGGACGGCGATGTTGTAGCCATTACTTGCTAGAAGCAAATGGTCCCATGAAAGTAAATATATACACACACATATACAATCAACTTTCTTTTTTTATTTTATTTTATTATTTATGGCAAGAATGTTAGATGTTGGATTAGAGAGATCATAGATCAACTATTGGACCCAGGAAACTGTGCTCTTTTTCTTTCTTGTTTTTTTTTATGGCAAGAATAGTCTCAGGGGTTAGCGGTCATACTCAAAGTCGAGCTTTCAAAGATAACGGGGATCTATCTTATTGCTGGGCCTATAAATACATTTGTCTTAGGGATGGCAAAATTTGACACGATTCGTCAATATTATGCGAGTTAAACAGGTTTAGATTGACCTTAAATGGATTTGGATCTTAAATGGGTCGACACGGTTAACCAATTTATTTAATCGTATCGTTTTCGAATTAAGATGATTCATCCCGTATAACCCGTTTAATTATACGTGTCATAAACAAATTTATATTTAAGTTCTAATATAATTATCTAAACTTCTGTTTTATAATTTATTCTTTTGCAAACTAGATACTATTTAGTAATTTTATTGTATTAAAACTTATATTTTTCTAGGTATTTATTATTTGATCGAATATTATTAATAATTTAAATAATATAATTTTCTGTTTTAGTAAATAAGTCATTAAATGAGTTACATGTGTATCCTTAATAAACAAATAGAATTAGTGTTGATAATTTATGACACGAATTTTAAACGAATTATGTTCAAATTGAATTATTCAATAAAATACCTTTATGTCAACACAACACACTATTATAATCCGTCCTTTTGAAGTGCAACATGGAAAGACTAAAGAATTTTTTTTTTTTTCAATTTTTGTTGAAGATGTTTGCATGGCCTTAAAAGGAATTAGGCTTTTTATCCAAAGATTTAAATAATTTTAAATTCTGTGATCTATAGACAACTTTAATTTTTCTAGTTTCAAGTACTTTTAGGCTCATATTGAATTTGGTACTAAGATTGACACGTGGCACTAATGCATGTAGGGTCAGCCAGGTGTGTGCAGACTGTTGATGGGGATTAAATGAGGTGATAGCTGAAAACAGGCTTTTTCATGGTCTTCTTAAAGAGAGAGTGAAACCACTTACTATGGACATGAAAGGATCGCAACCTAAAAATGATACTTATGGACATGGTACGTACGGGTTCTTGGTAGAACGAATTTGGTAGGCCTTTAAATGAAATAGGAGCAATTACAGTAATTAAAATCAAAACTCACTTCAAATTTGGATTGGAAATTATATATTAATAATTTATTAGGTTCACTCTTGACTAGTTGAGACTTAGACATTTCTATAATCTTTCTAGTATACAAGTTGCAATTATTTAGAGGGAATATGATTTGTGATCAGAAACTAAAGTTGTGACATCCCTATCTAAAAGTGTCAGCTTGCGATGTCATTCGACTCTTCACTGGTGATCGGGGCCGACAGAAAATAGAGATCTCGCGAAATCGTCCGACTCATCCTCACTTCCCACTGTAGTTTGATACTCTCTCTTTCTCCTAATGAGATATGAGGTGAGCCGGACATGTCATGTCATTAGTACGTCCGACTAATGAAAATTCATCATATAATGAAATGGGTCTCCCTACATAACAAAAAGTGTTCAATGATGCTATTCATAAATTGATTTGTTAAATTTATATTAATTAAGCATACTAATGACATGGGATGCACTCCCCTATGTCTATATCTCTACTCCTGACTCTTTCCCCTCTCCATATCTCATTTTGTTGTCATTGTTGTAGCTCTATGTATCATTACATATACATATAGTTTTTTCTTTTTTTATCTTTTATTTTATTTTCTAGTCATAGGTTTCTATTTTTTAGGATGCAAATGCATAGATGACAAATTAGGGCCTTGCTTATAATCGTTGACACTTTTTAAAATCAAAACTCACTTAAAATTTGGATTGGAAATTATATATTAATGATTTATTAGGTTCACTCTTGACTAGTTGAGACATATCTATAATCTTTCAAGTATAGAAGATGCAATTATTTAGAGGGAATATGATTTGTGGTTTGAAAAACTGAAACTGAAGCTGTGACGTCCCTTTACTCCAGATCTGAAAGTGTGAGCTTGCGATGTCATTCGATTCTTCACTGGTGATCGAGGCCGACAAAGAATAGAGATCTCGCAAAGTCATCCAACTCATCCTCACTCCCCACTGTAGTTTGATACTCTTTCTTTTGATAAGATATTGGGTGCGCCGTATATGCCATGTCATTAGTATTTACTTAACAAAAAGTGTTCAAAGCTGCTATTCATAAACTGATTTGTTAAATTTTTATTAATCAAGTATACTAATGACATGATATGCATGACTCACCCTATATTTACTCATATCTCTCCCCCGTGTTTATATCTCTACTCCGGTCTCTTTCCCCTCTTTATATCTCATTTTATTGTCATAGTTGCAGCTCTATGTATCATAACATATACATATAGTTTTTTTTTTTTCTTTTTTTATCTTTTTCTTTTTTCTAGTCATAGGTTTCTATTTTTTAGGATGCAAATGGATAGACGACAAATTTGGGCCTCGCTTATTATTTAAAATTCATAATTTTATTTATTTATTTATTTTTATTTTTATATCATTAACTGACTTTTTGAAATTCAAAACTCTCTATTCTTTTACTCTCGGTATAATCTACCCCGCCATTAAACAAAGTGTGCTGGGTGGAGTCGGTAGTTTGTCTACCCCACCAGGACAAATGGTATAACGGTTAAAAAATTTGTCTCGAAATAAGAGCATGGATGGTATGGATAATTTTTCAACGGAGCGGAATAAGATTTAGTCAAACCTATCCCAAACCCGCCCCGTTTCCATTTCTAATGGTATGACACGATACAGAAAATCTCACAAAAATAAAACGCGAATATAATAATAATACATCAAAAATAGTAATAAATAACTTTTGTTCATTTTATTCACTAATCATGAATGAAATCATTAATTTTAAATTTAGATCTAGATGTTTCTCTGTTTTTTTCAAAAATTTTATATTATTAATTTGTAATATATTTTAAAATTGCATTGGAATCTCAGTATTCTAAGAAAAATAATTACAAAATTAATACATGCTTACGAATTTACCTGTATGTACACTCGCGTATTCATTACCATCACAGGATGCAACTGTAACACCCGTGAGTACATTGAAATTTTTATTTCAATTTTGATTTCGATTAGTGATCAGTAGATTAGGCTTTTGAATTATTCAGGGCACCTATACCAGCATTAGTGCTTCAGACAAATCCTTGGAAGAAGGCTAGGAGTTCTTTCACAAAGGGCTATTTCTTGAAAGTGTTCTAAAAGTGTCCCAGACATGTCCAACCAGAGATTAGAAAATCAAAATTCAAATTTCATGACACTTCTTCTAACCATGCCTTACATGTGTCTAGATCGTGTCCGACAACGCAATGACACTATTAGGAGAACTGTCTATGCTTTATAGATGGAAACCACTGGTGGTTCTAAAATATACGAGATCCTATCACAACGATCTAGCAAAGGTGTTTAACATACATTCCTATTATCTCTGCGCTCTGCGAAGCATATTAAAAGCACAACAAGGGTTTCAACTTTCTAGTACCCCATACTGTCCCATTATGTGTTGTTCTACTCCCCCACTAAAATCTCAGCTGCATTTGAAATTATGAATCGAATGAGTCGATTAGAAAAACTCCACACAAATTCTGCAAAGGCACAAGTCTCACCTGTGTTTAAAGACTGACATGCTTCGAGAGGCTTGATCCGAACCACGCTAATTTTGTCAAAGGCAATGGGCTGATGCCAACATCTCCATTTCCATTCACAAAAATCCTTCATTCAAGTCTCAAGTAGCTTGTTGGTTCAACCTTACAAAGAAAGACAGAAAACTAAGAACAAAACGGCAATGGCTGATCAATCTAGCAATCTTAGCTACCAAGCTGGAGAGGCCAAGGGCCAAACTCAGGTTAGACAAGTAGTTTCGCAATTCATTCATGCCATAAACATGCACTGTTACTTACCTAATAGAGTCAAATGGCTCTTAGAATGACATGATCACGTAGTAAAAAGACATGATTCAATGAACAAATACATTGTATAGTCAAGGTAGATGATACAATGTGCAATGAATGTGACATTCGATACAATGTGCAACACTAAATTTGAATTGCTTTCTCTTTCAGGCTAAGAAAGACCAAGTTGCCGATAGGGCAAGAGATAATGCAGAGTCTGCCAAAGAATCAATAAACAAAGGAACGCATATATCTGTAACAAATAAACAAAATTACATACATGAAGCATAAGACAGTTCTGATAGTATGACCAAATTCATAGATTTACATTCACAAGCCACATTCAAGGAGCAGCTGATGCCATCAAAGATGCAACTGGGATTAACAAACAATGCTAATGGATTCAATAAAGCTATTATTTATTTTTTTGGATTCTTAAACTTTTTCATCGTCCAGCGATGGGGTTTAATTTTTTTTTTTTTTCTTATTTAATTTCGATCTCCACATTTGCTGGACACAGCTAATAAAGAGCTCATAGCAATATTGTCCTTGAGTGGTGTACTGTGTTTCCCTACAGAATTTCAATCAACAATTTCTTGTCACTTGTCTTCTTTAAAATCTTCAAAAACCTGTTTATCATTGCACAGATAAGAAAATCAAAGCAAATTGTTTAATCCATAGTTTCATTCGGTGGGAGATGATGACTCTTAATGCAAACATTACAATCCAATCAGACAAAATGCGCAACTGTTCTTACTTGGCCACAAAACACAACACAGAACTTCTGTACAGAAAGGCTGATGAACAATAGTTAAGGTTCACACATTCTTTATATTGGCTACGAATTCTTGAAGTTCTTCCGACATTGCATTGTAGAGGCCTGCAGAGCAAAATGCAACATTTGACACTAATATATTTGATTTCCTTCAAATTCATTTCACTTGAAGGGGGCACTATAAGAAAATTAACTTGCCAACTTTCATAAGCATAACCTTTGCCACGATTCTTCCTAAACAAATCGCCGTTTCGTACGTGCATCCTCTCTGTTCTAAGGCATTGAGTCTCCTCCAATCTTTTGGTCTTCAACTTGTCCATTTTCGTACGAAGCTCTGATGCAGTTCTTGTCAACTCTGCAGGAAGCAATAATCTATTTGAAGATTTGTCACTTGAGAAACTTCAGTTCAGCTTAAACTATTAACTGATAATCTTCACAATTACTGTAGCTAGAAAGTCCGTGTACTTTCATTGCAAGAATTTCTCTTTCCAGTGAGTGAGACTCAAAATCATAGCAACAAAAATTGCACATTTAGAAAGTTCAAGCTCATCTAGACATAACAAATAAAGGTTCAGTAAATTCAGGAATAGAACCTAGAGCAAGCGCAGTACTTTATTGAAAGCATCCGAATGAAGTCCACAACTTGGTTAAGTTAGTTCTGAACTTGAATTTCTACAAAACTAAATAATTGATAGAATTGTACCCATAACACAATTATAAACTCTGCCCCCAAAAAAAGGCTTATGTTGTTTCATAGATCTCCTTTAAATGACTTGACCCGAGAGAAGAGAGAAACTCCTTAGCACGTATTAACAATTAAACATCCCTAAAGAAATGGATTATATAACTAAATAGCGCACGCAGTTATATCAAATCCCACCTCCGCCACACCCCCCAGCAGAGACATAGAAGGCAATCCTGACATGTTGATTCGAAATACCCAAGCTGATTAACTCTTAGGGCCAGGAATACCAAGTCATTGGTATGCCCAACCAATCCACATGCACCATTCAAGTTGGTTGGTCCCATATATTCATCAAAACTTCTCTGAACCAAGTTGAATGGTGCATTTTAATTGGTTGGGCATACCAATGGTATGCCCGATGCACCTTATACCTACTCCATGAAGGAGGAGGAGGAGGGGCAGGACAAAAAAATAAAAACTCTTTGATCTCACTCAACCACTATATATTATTTGGTTAGAAGTTAAAACTATTTCAATGTGCATGTAGTGGAAACCTGGCTAAAATAGCAATTGGCTGGAGATATCCCTCTGTGACCGAACAAAAATGAAACACTATAATCATGAGATATACATTTCCATCTTTCTGTAGCATATATCCAAATATCAAATCAAGAAAAAACAAAACCATAATAAACACACAGGCACACACTCGGATCCAAAAGTAATTTTCTAAGTTACATTGGCGACTAGGATGATTATCCCAGGAATTAAGAGCATTCCACACCCCCCCTAAAATTTAAACATTGTTCCCCTCAAACAAGATTTAGTCATACCAGCGTAAGCTACTAGCCTGCCTAATAGTACAAGTTTCTGTTGTGATGCTACTAAATCAAAGACATGGTTAATTGATTGTTTAAATACCTTGGAACATGTCATGAACAGACTGTCGCTCACATAACTGTAGTGCTTCATTAACAGGCCCAGCATATTGATTGCTTATAGCAGACTGTCTTTCCAACGATTGGAGCTCTCTGGTCAGCTCAGCAGTCTCCTTTCCAACCTGGGTGGTAAATCAAAATTAAAAGGAAATCCATGAGAAAAATAAAAGAATCAACCAATAAATGCACAAGGGAGTACTTCCGAATGCATAATCCTTATTACCAAATCAAGTTTATCTCTCAAGGAATCTAACTGCACATCCGGCTCTGGGTCACTGAGAACAGTACGATCTGTTGAGCTGCCACCAGGTGATTCATTCTAAAAAGACATTTTAAAAGTACTTTTTAGCTATAAATAAATAAAAACAGTAGTAAGCAAGGAGAACTTAAAAATTGAAGTCAACTAGTATCAAATTTATTACAGAAAGGGTGACATAAAGCAAAATCTAAAATCCAAGCTATCACTAACTAAAATCAGTTTGTATTCATTAAATTCAATAAATCCAGGCTGAGCCTACACAATTGCAGCTCTTTTTTGGCCTTGGGCCACATTTAAACTTTGTGCTTGAGGCCCCAAAAACTGCAGCATTTTCTTTATCAAATCATTCTATGTCATTTGCTCAATCACTCATAGTTGGAAACGCTAGAGAAACAAGTTCTAAAAAGAAAAGAAAGAGAAGCGAAAGTGGTGAAGAAATGATAATTGAAATGGTAAAGAGTTGGTCGTGTTTCATTAGCTCAAAGATGGAGTCATCTAGTAACGCATTACTCAACTATAGATGCATCAATCTATGCGTTGAGACACAAGCTAATGAAGAATTGAAGTTTTTTTCTTCTTTTAGAATTGAAGAAGTTACCATGCTTAAGCACAATTAAGTGACATAAATCAACTACTAGACTTGCTCATGATCGTACTTGACTCAAGGTTTTTTTTTTTTAATCCTTTTTACAACTCGTGATGAGGAAATGGAAGCTTAGTTAAATAACTATGGTTTGGACTATGTTACCAGATCTTAGGTACATGTGTTAGGTGCGGGTGTGTATCCAAACAGTAGATTTATTTTTTAAACAGAAGCACGCATGAACACTGCTAAATATTCATTTATCTGATATGTCCATTTTATATTATGGAATAAACTTTTTTCTTTATGTTACTTAGTTTTATATTGAGCATTTCACTTGTTTTTAAGCAATAATATTATAAAATTGAACCATTGTATATATCTTTTAGTTGCATATCAAACCAAAAGTGTCACATATCACATACTTACATCCGGGTATTAGGAGTCCGACACAGGTTCATTTCGGCTAGAGCACCAAAATCCGCTATATATTTGACATGGGTTTGCCGTAATGCTGAAACAATGAAGAATGCATCTATCGTCATTGATGCATAGATAAAGATACCAATTAGTAGTGATAGAATTCCTTCTTTCCACATGAGAAACCAGAACGAATATAACCTACATGCCCAATCCGAGTATTAGGTATCCAACAAGCGCTCATCTACTTTGAAAGAGTCCATGTAACATAGATTTTGGATACTTGAATAACTTCTATTTGGACCTTGATATGTTAGATCACTATTGGTAGTTTTATTTTTTATTTATTTAATTTTTTTGAAAAAGTTATTTCATGCTATATCTGGTGATTTTGTTTATTTTTTTTCCTTATTAGTTACTACAAAAAAATTCTTGTTTATTAGTTTAGTTGTAATTTCCATTCATGGAAGCACAGTTTTGAGAGCTCCATTGGTTTTTCATTCAACTAGACAATTATTGGGCCAATTCGGCATGTAGATTAAAATAGGCTTTGGATGAACTTCAAAACTTGGAAGTTATGCAAGTTTAGTTTGAGATGAGGGAATATATATAAGATTGTCAGATCACAAGAGCAGCTAAGTTAGAGCCACCCAGCCAATCATAGCTTTCTAAAGAGACTAATTGAAGTTGTAAACGACGAACAGGAAGGCCCTTCAGGCCGCAAAGAACACTCTGATTTCACCGACAAAATTCAGTTGCCCAAAGTGTGAGATTGTTATTCCAGTTACGATGCAACTGCTTATTATTGTGATATACTGCAACTGCTTTTGTCCAATCTAATGAATATTTGCCATATGGTTAATGCTTTCACAAAAATGTCAGTATTATAAGACATGCTTAAGCCAATCATTTGTTATATTTTTACACAATCAGGCGCAATGTTCTTTGATATTATATTTATATAGATTGGGTAAAAAACCAATTTGCTCCATTTGACCGGAAATGAACTTCACAAGAGATCTGAAATTCATTGCATGAATCGAATGGCCGGATGTTCAACTAAGGGTTTGTCTAGGACTCGATCTTGGTATTCTTTTTGGTGGGCCGGTTGCTGGTTGATTAGTCCAGTGGTCACTTCAGCTGTACAGCTTCAACATTCTGGGTATTAACCCTTTGCTTAGTGAGAAAAGTGACCTCTTCTAAGTACATAGTTTCCATCAAGATTGGACCCGTGTCTAAGACTTTTTACTACTCATGTACTATTGTATGCTTTAAATTCCTTAGATAGGCGCCACTAGGCACCAGTTAGTTGGCAATCTGTCTATCTTACAGTTACCCAACCTGATGTTGCCTATGCTGTTCACTTAGTCAGTTTATGTCTGCTCTTTTCCTCTCATTTTGCTGCTGTTCTTCACATTCTTCGTTATATCAAGGGCACTTTATTTCATGGTCTCCACTTCTTGGCTCAGCATCATATCCAAAACTTTGAGGAAAGAAAGAATCATTCGGCAAAGGACCAAAGAAAGGGTTGCGCAAGGGCGGGTATTCTCCTACATGAAAACTAGCCACTCCTTTCCGTATTGCTATGGACGAGAAAGATAATGTTAATATGAATTAACAACGGCTATACTGTAAAGAAAGTCCTCTGGCTCTCATGGCCCTTTCTCGATGGTCCTTCTGCCTCCTGTTATGAATGAATTCAGCGACTGTGTTCCAAATTCTGAATTAGTTGATCTAATGATTTGTTATGTCGTCCTCCATTGCTGCCTGGTTAGGGTAACAATGAGGAGAGGGTTGTACAACCAGCACTTGCATTTCACCGGAGATAGTGAAACTAGTGTGAGCCATGGGCGTAGCCCATATTTTGGGTGAATCACGTAAAATCTGTGTCGTGATTTTTTACTTTGTGTGCTGGGTTGGAGTTCTTTCTGATTTCCTGTCTGTCAAGTAACTATATCCAACTCTGAGGCCAAGTTATACCAGTAGTCTGTGTGGTTGCATAATTTAAGCATCGACGACTCATCCGATAGTGCGTAATCTAGTTCTTCTTGGAAGAGCTCCCTGATGCTGCTTTTGGCCTTCCCCTTAAATGAAATTTGGACGTAGCCTTCATAGTAAAGGCTCACTAGAGTTTGTGCTCTAGAATGACCTTCAAACCTAACCAATTCTCCCTCTGTAATAGCAGTATTGGCGGGCCTGTAGTCATTCTTACTCATTCCTTGCAAGAGTTTCAAGCTTGGTGCTTTCGATCGCACACATCCATCCGCATTGAAGTAGACAAAAGAAGACAAAGGCATAGCCAAAAAAGCGGAGAATCTGGGCCCAACACTAAGAAGTTCATTCATTAGAGGCCTCAAACCGGTTAGAGGACCAGAGGGTGGTCGATTTATGTGTATTCGGCTGTCGAGATTGGTGTCCCACCAGGTCGCACTGTTGTAAAGATGAAGGTGGAGGTGTCATCTCAAGTATTGCCTTGATCTTCAAAGGCTCTATTCAGGCTTTCATTCTTATTGCTCCAATTTCCTCCCAACGGGAATCTTCATTCTCCTTCACGCTTGAGGAGCTGTGTAATGGCAAAGATCCATCTGCATGAAGCTGGCCTACTCTAAGTGACCAAAGAGTTTGTTCTACTGTTAAACCGCATCATGCCCAAATGAGTGCACCGAAAGATAGAACAGCAGAGGACGTACGGGCTGAACCCACCCTTTTCCACCCCAGCAGAATCCGGACCACAGCTGAGGTTCCATCTACGCCTATAACATCAAGCAGGACAAGACCTCGGGAGACCCCCCCATGTGATTCTTTCCTCCCCTGAAGAATCACCCAAAAGTGGGGCACAACCAAGAGCAACTACCCAAACCAAAAAACTATAGCCTTAAACTATCCACAAAAGACAAGAATCTCCATAGATTTCAATTTGACTCCTATACCCAAAAGAATAGAGAACTACGCATAAAAAATCAAAACACGCCACAAGAGACTCAACCCCATCAAAAGATCTCCCATTCATTTCCCTCCATAAGGTCCACCACAAAGAAATATAGGCAGCCCACCATGCATCTCTAACTTGGGACCAGACTGGACATCCTCCCCAAGCATCAATCAAGCTCTTCGCGAATTCCAGCATGACCCAATGGATCCCAAAAATGGCACAAAACATATCCCATCCATCCATAGCCATAGGACAATTTTAGCTTGCAAACTTCCAATGGAAGACCCTTCAACCAGCAAAGAACACTGATTTCACCAACAGTGTCCAGTTGTCCAAAGGGTATAGATTATTTCTCCAGCTAGAATGCTATATAAATAATTACCTACTTATTGTTGTGATATACTTCATCTGCTTTTGTCCAATCTTATGAATGTTCGCCACATGATCTGTGTTTCTACAAAATGTTAGTATTATAGAGTTGCTATAGGCCAAATTTATCTTTACACAATCTGCCAAAACGTTATTTGATATATATTATATCAAATATATGTATATATAAAATTGCCATATGACAAGAGAAACCAATTAAAGCCAACCAACTAAGGCTGAAAATGAACTAAGCCAAGCCAAGCTTTAGTCTATTCGGGCTCACCTTGTCCATTTGTAGGTTTAGCTCAGACTCGACTTGGGATCATGCCAAGGTTGAAAAGTTGAGCTCAAGCTCTGCTTGTGATTGGAATGGAAAGGGTTCGACTTGGCTCAACTTGTTTAATAAAAAAGTTAACCTCATACTATATTTGTGTTTGCCATCAATTTGAGCTCGTGCTTTAACTCCATAATAAACTTGTACAAGCTTACGCAAGTCTATATTCATTAAAATATGTTAATGAGCCAACATTAATGAGCCTAAAAAAGCCTACGTTTATGAACGTGTTCATGTACCTACTTCGTAGGTTCAAGAACACATACAAACCTACATGAGTTTAGTGTTTAGGAGTCTACACGAGCCAAGCCTAACAATATTCTGAATTGACTCATTTACTAAAAGAGCTCAAAAATCAAGCTCAAACTTGGCTCGTTTACTTAATGAACGAGCTCAAGTCGAGCTTTAAATGAGTCCATTCTGAACTGTTCGTAAATAGCTCAGTTCATTTACAGCCTATACTAGCCATTATAGATTTCTAAAGAACCCAATTGAACTTGTATACTAGCAAAGACAAGCACTAACTTCACCGACAATGTTCATTGCCCAAAGTGGAGATTGTTTCTCTAACTATGATGCTATATATATAATTACCTGCTCATTATTGTAATATACTCCAACTGCTTTTGTCCAATCTGATGGACATGTGCAATGTGATCAATGTTTTTTTGTAAATGTTTAGTATTATAATAGATGTTGTAAACCAGTCATCTATTATATCTTTACACATAGGGCTTCAAAACGAACTGAGCTGTCCATGGACAGCTCTGGATTGTCTCTTTAAAGTGGTTTGTTGGGCTCGTACAGTAAACGAACCTATCCTAAATTTGTTAGACTCCGCTCATGTAAGCGCTCATATGTTTTCATGAACATAGACTCGTGAACACGTTCATGAACGAAGGCTCGTGAACATAGACTTTATGGGCTCATACAAGTTTATGAACAAGCCAAAACGATCTTGAACACGAGTCTAAACACAAATATGATATCGAGGTTGGCTTTTAATTAAACGAGCCGAGCCCAAGCTTTTCAAAATAGTGACAAGTCTAGGCTATGTTAGAGAAATCAATTTAAAAGTTATTTCATTAACACTTTAATTCGGTCTAACGAAACACTGCAGTAATAATGGTCATTTCATTCCTACATATATTTTGTCAATGGAATGTGAATGACCATTTCATTCATCACCATTCTCATTCCATTCTCACTTGCTTTCCATCCCTACCTCATTTCATTCCTGCTTTGCAGGCCAAACATATCATAAAATAAAGAATTGCATCACTGCATCAACATAGATCACATTAGCAAACGATACATAAATATATAAGAACATACAAATGACTAACTCCAAAACTATTCAAATTAGAAGACATACGGTTTTGGGTAGGGAAAATCCTTGTGGAACGCTAAAGCAATGTTGAAGAAAATACTTCTCCCACATCTCCAATCGCTTATCCAGAACAGACTGAATCATGTTTTGAATGAAATTCACACCCTATGAATACAACAATCACAAAATCAAAAGTATGCAAACCCTAAAAAGAACAAGAAAAGCACTAACACTCCATTCAAGTGATGAATTAAGCATAAATCAGTGAATTAACACACACGGCATACTAAATATGACAAGAATAAAAAGGAAAAGAATGGGTTTACCTTGCTTAAATCCTCGGATCTATCTGTGCCCTCGACTTTCAATAGTGTCGATGCCTCTCTACATGAGCAAGAGTAGAGCATAATCTTTAAGTTCATAAAGTAGAAAATTCAAATAGTAAACAAATGTAGATGTATATACATATATAGAGAGAGAAAGCGGAAGAGAGAGAATTACTGATGATAGAAGTCGAAAGCCCCATCGACCAAGTCATCAACTAAATTAAGGACCTCATTGATGAAAAGCTGGGGGTTTAGGTTCAGAGAATTGAAAATCGCCTCGCTTTCACTTCCTTCCATCTTCACACTTGAAGATTGAGAATAGAGAGAGAAAGTTAAGAGAGAGAGTATAAAGAGTTCAAATCGAAGCTATTTTCCCGCCAAATGAACTCTGTTGCACAAATAGTATTGCATCTGAATTCTGACGAGGGCTTTAAAATGTGACTCCTTTTTTGGAAAAAGGTAAGAAAAGGAACGGCTAGTGTTTTGATAATGGTAAAAGGGACAGTCAAGATTGTCCCAACCCTTAATTTCAATAGAAGAATCAAAAGGACCCAAAAATAAATAAATTAATTAAACATGTGTAATATATTTTTCTTATATATATTAGAGATGGGATTGGGTTTGTTGGAATTTATCAAAGAATTTTTAGTAGGAGTAAAGATTTCACTAGTAGGGTTTGTTGTTTTCCACACAAGTCTTAATATCAGTATGGTTTCATAAAATGAGAAAAAGAAAAGCAGATGAATGAGGTGAAATTAGAAAAAGAGTAGGATTACTGCTACTGGCAGTACAGCCGCTGAAATGCCTATGATCAATAAAATGAGATGTGCCTATGTTTTCAGTTACTTAATATATGTTCTCAGCTAAAAAAAAATGAAATTATTCTCAATTTCATATATTCAAAGCCGCTGCCAGTCTACTAGTATAGACTTGTGCCAATCTAGTTTGTAACATGCTCACACATATCATTACTTCTATTTCAAAAGTAAGGACATGCTCATCAATTTTATTCCTTCAACAATCTTTTGTTCTTCAACTACTACCAGTCCAAGTACTACCACTGTCCCTTTCTCAGTTACCACTGACCCTTTCTCAGTTACAATTAATTGAACACATTTCAATTAATTCCTAGCCCCAAACGTCTCATATTTTGGCTCAAACCCATGACTTAACACTATATGGGTATGAGTTCAAAATGGTTCCTCTCTATTCATGAAAAACTACAAGCCTTTTTTTTTGTTGGTTTAATTAAATATTCCATGCTGCTTTTTTTTAGAATGAGGCAAATTGTTTTGTGTCTATACATATATATTTAAGTGTTTTTTTGACTTTTGCTCAGATGGTGTCTAGTACTTTTAAAAACAATTTTGATCTCTGAAACTTCTTCTTCTTCTTTAGATATTTCTAAAATAACTACTGTATGATATATACATATATGTGTGTGTGCGCGCGCGCGTTCATCCACAATTAAGATGACATCAATTTTATTCTTTTCTTTTTTGTTTTTTTCTCAAACTACTTTAAAATAATATATTATGACAAAACAAATGCTGCTCATGAATTATCTTCATCAGAAATTATGCCATGTTTTTCATGAATATATATTACGCCAATTTTTTAGCAGACTCCACACACGCACAAAAGAACAGGAAGAAGGTAGAAATGAAAAATCAAGGAGTAAATTAAGAAGGAAAATATTTCTTAGAGAGAGAAATAGTCCAAAAAAATTAAACAAGGTAAAGTATAAAGTTGTTCTCTAGTTCTAAATTTTAATGTACAAGTTATTGTGAACATAAATATATAGAGAGAGAAATAAAAATTAAGAACTGATATTCTATTTGTTTGACACAACTATCAGAATAGAAAAAAAAAAAAAATTCCCTGTTTTACAACTTAAAGCTTGGCCATGTACAATAGCAGAATGTCCATAATGAGTTTTCATTGGAAATTGCCTAAAAATTATTTTGTGATTAAGTAATTAATTTTCATTTTTGTGATTAAGTAATTTTATTTAGAATCGGATTTATCTTCTGTGAGAATTTGAAGTGTTTCAGTTTCCTTTAGAATATGTGGGTCATATATATATTGTCATTGCGTTCTCCAAAGTTCTTTATTCACAAGTTCTCTCTTCAAAAGAAAAAAAAAAAAATCCATATATATTTCTCTGTTCACAAGTTTTCCAAACAGGGGAAAAACATAAAGACAAATTCCTAATTCTTTTTTTGTTCACAAGACAAAGGGCCGCACATACTATATATATATATAGTCCAGGAATACAAATAAAAACAGAAACCCAATCAATTAGGAAATGGAACACAAGAAAACCCAAATCCAGCCAAAACCAAGCAAATTCAGCCAACAAAATTTACAATAAAACCAGAGAAAAAAACAACAGTGTGTTAGTCCTAACAATGTTTGAGAATGAGGGATAGAAGAAAGCCCTAAAAATGTTTGAGAAAGAGGGATTGAAGATTACCTAAAGAATGAAGATGTGTTCGGATCCTTAGAGAGTAGAGAGAGAGGGTTGAATAAATAGCTCTGCGTTGGTCTGTGTTGGAACAGGTTGAGATGGTTTCTCGCTCAACTCTCTGACTTCAAGCCTCCTCAACAGAAATAAAGGAAGAAATAAAAGGATTAGAGCAATGGACTGGGTCGGAACAAATTGAAATTAGGGCATTTTGGGAGACCAAGTGTCGATTTTGTCATCCATTAGGGCAATTTGAGCAGGAAGCTTTGGGTGGAGTAGAAACGGGTGTAGAGCTAAAAGGTTTCGTGGGAATGAAAGGGTTTTTTTTTATTTATTTATTATTTTTTTTTTATAAGAGTGGCTTTGGCTGACTATCTGAGTTTGGCACGGGAGTGGGAAATTGAGTTAGTGGAAATTTTTTTTACTTATTTACGAGACGAAAAGAATCCCTTAAAAGTGGAATTTTAGCTTTCATTAACAAGACGGCTCTTACCCCGTTAAAGTTTGACAAATGCCTCGTTAACATATGCAAACATTAACGGGCACTTTAACATCTTGAAAACATTTTTTTACGAGGATTCTACTAAAATCCAGTGAAAGCCCTTTATGTGACAACTACAAGGAGCCCCTTATGAACCTTGTAAAATGTAATTTCTACGAGGCAAAATAAATGAACCCCCTAAATACTTCTTGTAAAAACCCACTTTTCTTGTAGTGCCCCCGCTTGGGCTACGAAGGCGTTCACTATGGAGTATGGGTATGTAGACATTTCTTTTTTCTCTCTTGTCAAAACTGGTTATGCGAGGGTTGCATTGATAGTATTACTCTCCATTGTTCCTATGTCCAAATTGTATAATGCAGCAAGAGCAAATAAGTAATACATTTATATGATGTGTCGCTTTGATTAATTAATTGTAAGCTTAACTCTCTGCTTAGTTCTACCAAATACGGTTAATTTAATTTGTCATTGTGCCAAGAAGAACAAGTGTTTATCAGAGTATGTCTAACCAATACCTCATTATGATATGGTATGTCACTGTCATTAACATGCTCAACTACTAAAAATACATCGTCCTATGAAATTGGACCACCTATTTTGTCAAACTGCTCTCAACTTATAGAAAAATAATTTAATTGCTCTGGGTATAGTGATGACATGATATCACCCACGATTATACACAAAGTATAACCGGTGCAGGGCACAAAGAATCCGTAAATCACTTGACATCCCTTTCCCTTGTAGTACAAAAGCTCTAAACTAATAGCTTCAACAAACTCCCTTTCTAATCGAAACATAATGCAAATAATTACATGACAACATAAGCTTCTAGAGGTCAGTACACAACATATGTCATACAAATATATATAAATTCTTATAAAAACTATATATTCTCCGGGTCTCCTAGAAAGCTTATAATTAATTGACAATCATAAGACAAGAAAGGATTGATATACATACATATATTCACAGATTTGTAAGTCCACTTCTTGTACTCATATGGAGGATATATATGAAGGAAATGAGAAAGATGCATGCAGAACCTGTGACAAGCTAGCCCAGGTAAAGCACTAACTAAACCTGCAAGCTCTATAGACTCTGCAATGCATGTCCAAACTTTCCTTCCTTCTTCTATTCTATCTCTAAGAATCCTCAAGTTTGTATCCACAATATTTGCTGACTTTCCAATCAAATCAAAGTAAGGGACAACCAACAAATTAACTAAAACCCATTCTAATTATCATTAAAAAAAAAAAAAAAAAACTCCTTTTTCTTTGCTACTTTTTTTTCAATAATCGGAGTGTCCGGGAAAGCCCCGACTAATCTACGGGACCCGTATAAGGATCCCAAAACAGATCACGTAAAGCTCAAATTATGTTCGCAGGTTTCTTTGCTACTTCTTTGCTAGCTTGTAATGAAATCCATCATTTCTGTATGTATGTTAAGCTCATCTTGAAGCATGTTATCCAACATATATATATATCAATTGAAAAGGATATAATAGAAGAGTATATATACATACCTTCAGCTTGGAAGCTTTGGGATATGATCATCATATATATGGGGATATTTTCTCACCTTAGGATTGCAAAATGGTTAGCTTAAGCTGAAGAAAGAAGGTATAGAAGAAGCCATGAACTGGCTGAAATAATGGGCTTGCTTTCCCCTAACGGAGTATTTTATAGTGATGATTTGTTTCAAATATGACTGAGATGCCGTGATCAATATAGTGACCGCCCGTCAAGTAGTATCCTTGCCCCTAGAAATAAGTTATTTGGCACCAATTGACAGATTGAAGTTCATCTACTGTTGATTTAAATTAAATTAAGAAGTTCATCACAAGTTTTCCAAATCCAAACAAAACATAAAGACAAATTCCTATTTCTTTTTTTGTTCACAAGACAAACGGACGCACATACAATATATATAGTACACGAATACAAAAAAATATGTATATATATATAAATATATATGAAGATAAACTCAATCAATTAGGAAATGGAAAACAAGAAAACCCAAAACCAGCCAAAACCAAAGCAAATTCAGCCAACAAAATTTACAATAAAACCAGAGAGAGAAAAAAAAAAAAAAAAAAAAAAAACCATGTGTTAGTCCTAAAAATGTTTGAGAATGAGGGACTGAAGAAAGCCCTAAAAATGTTTGAGAAAGAGAGATTGAAAAAGGCCCTAAAAATGTATGTGAAAGAGGGATTGAAGATTACCTGAAGAATGAAGATGTGTTCGGATCCTTAGAGAGTAGAGAGAGAGGGTTGAATAAATAGCTCTGCGTTGGTTTGGGTCGGAACAGGTTGAGATGGTTTCTAACTCAACTCTCTGAC